TAGCAAATGTTTATTTACTTGTGAATCAGAAGAGTCGGATTTAGATTTAACCATTATTGAGCCTTTTCATGCTCCTTTGCCTCAAGTTGAAGAAGATAAAATAATAGGTAAGATATAAAAATGACATTTATCATATAATTATTAGATGTTAAAAATATTGTATTCTAATACATTTCCTTTTAATTTATTCACAAAAATCCAAAGTAGGACTGGGGTTAGTCGAACCGATTTTTACAAAATTGGCTATAGCTCCTGGTTTTTTATAGATAATATAAAAAATAATATATGATTAGATACCTAAAACTATATGGTTCGGGTTTGGTTCGAATCCCTTGAGATAACAATTATAGAGAAACTTTTACAGAGAAAACAATTATAGAGAATGTCGTTTATAGAGAATTTTTTTATAGAGAATAATTTTATAGAGAATGATTTCACAGAGAATGTTTTTACAGAGAATGATTATATAGAGAATTTTTTATAAAAAATTTTATTTAAAGAATATGATTATTTTATAAAAAGTAAATCTATATAATATATAACATTTTTGTGTAAATTTGTGAAATCATTATTTAGGCTCTGCATACATAGGGGAAAAAAAATTACAGTTTTTATTATAATATTAAATATTATAATTACCTTATATAAGAGAATAATTGGGTATTTTTTATTGTAAGAAAATTATTACAATCGGCACAGAAAATTGTTTATCTTTATACAAAGTTTTTCAATTATTAGAAGCTAACTTAACTAGTTACAGTTACATTGCCAAAGTAACTTTTAACAAAACTATTCTTATCTTTAAAAATAAATTTCGCGAATTCCTCACAAATCATGTCAAAATTTTGTTCTACCATTAGGGGAAATGTGCCATAAATGACCATGTTTGAAGACTAGCCACCACCCTTTAACATTTTATCTATTGGACCGATTTCTAATTCCTGTGAAATCAGATGTTTAAAATCCAAAAATCGCCCTTAGTAAATGATTTAAAATTGAGAGATTCCGAATCCCCACGAATTCCGAAACCCCATACGACATATATATTATCCATAGGCATTTAGCATTATTCACACAAAAAATTAGAGCTTAAGTTTTATTTAATAGATATATAAAGGCGATGAATAATAATAGACAGATGAGTATTGTCTGGTCCTGTATTGACTGGCCACAATTCACACATTAATAGATTAACAATTTTTTATTAATCATATTCTTTAAATAAAATTTTTTATAAAAAATTCTCTATAAAATCCTTCTCTGTAAAAACATTCTCTGTAAAATCATTCTCTATAAAAAAATTCTCTAACGACGTTCTCTATAATTGATTTCTCTGTAAAAGTTTCTCTGTAAAATACATTCTCTATAAATAAATTCTCTATTTTTGTTTTCTCTATAAAGGTTACTCTGTAAAATACATTCTATGTAATGGTTTCTCTGTAATGACGTGGAACCAAGGAAAATTATATTTTTATTTAACGATTAGGGAAAGAGGGGATATTAAATAATTTTTTTTATTTATTTCACAGATAAGCCGTCACTTTTTTTATTGTTTGCCGATGAGCAAAATTATGTGAACGCTGAATACATTGCTACTAAAATAGCAAAGGTTTCAAACAAAGATTCGTGTTTTCAAATTGTCCATAATATTACTAGTAGTCCTTATTCAAAAAATGTTGGCAACAAAATTATATGGAAAAATAGTTGTGCTACCAATAATATTGGGAATAGTATTTCTAATATTTTAAAAAGGGCCCCTTCTTTTATTTCATATTTAAATGATCGAGGGCGTCAAAACATAATTTACTTTCAAATAATTGGAGAAAATAACCTAATCTTAGGTGATCACGTATTATTACCTATCCATAGGACAGATAGAACTAATATCTGTCCTAAAAATTTAGTAGGGAAAATATTAAAAATTGAAAAAAATAAAATATGGGTAGGTACGTGTGCTGGAAGAATTTCAACACCGTTTATTGCCTCTAGTCTGTATAAAACGATAAAATTAAATGATTTTGAAGTTCCCGACAAAGGTATATCAATCATAGATAATTTAAGCTTTTTTTATTATAGTAACATACTCCTCAAATTAATTCATCTATATAAAATATATTAATTATTTATTTAAACTGCTAACAATATATAGGAGCCTCCCGGAGTGTTACAAACTATGGGAAAACGTCGTTATGTAATTGCAAAATGGGTTGCATGAACAAAAGATGCGAATGTTACAAGAACAATCTTAAATGTTCAACTAAATGTCATGTATCATTAAATAATTGTTGTAATAATTTATTTTTTAATTCCGATTTTTTTTAAAATATATATTCATGCGAAAATATTTATGATTTTTATCCTTTTTGAAAATTTATATTAATTAGTTTATTATATAACAAATAAAGAAAATAAAAACTAGACGGCAAAAATTGACAAAAAAAGTATATTATTTTATTTTAGAAATAAAAACAAATTTAATAGAAAAAAATATATTTCGAATAAGGGTTTGACTTATAAAAACAGGAGAAAGAAAATTAAGATTAAATTAAAAAAATTTCTTAATAAATAAAAATATATTTATAGTAGAATTAGGCGTATTTGATACATAAAATTAGTCCTGACACCCCCCCCCCCCCCAATAATAGCATCTCCATCGCGAGGTATCGCTTGGCTTGTTGCCTATTCAATATTATATCTATAATAAGTTCAATAAGAAATTACTTAAAATATATGGGTCTGAACCACGAATCTGTGCTCGGGGATTTTTTTTAAAAAAAATGAGTTTTGATGAAATTACATTTATATGATAAAATAAATTATTAAAGATAAAAGGTGGTTAAAGGGAAAAATGAATAGAGTTTAAGTTTATTTTTATTATATAAAAAAAAATAGCTAGATTTAAAAAAAAGTTGTTTTTTTTCGTTTTTCCAATTTTTTTTTGTTGTTTTTGTGAATATTTTTTTTCAAAAATTTTAGGAAAGTAATAAGAAAGAAAGAAAAATTAAAATATGGGTTATTGCTTAAGTCAGAGTTTAAGTTTAATTTTATTATATAAAAAAATAGCTAGATTTAAAAAAAAGTTGTTTTTTTTCGTTTTTTCAATTTTTTTTTGTTGTTTTTGTGAATATTTTTTTCAAAAATTTTAGGAAAGTAATAAGAAAGAAAGAAAAATTAAAATATGAGTTATTGCTTAAGTCGGGTATATTATTTTTTTTTAATGTTTTTTTTATGTTATTTTAAATAAATATAGTATTAATGGATCAATTCAATTTTATTCATTAAATTGAAATATAGTCTTAAAATCTAAGCAATTTTAGGAAAATTAGCATAAAATCTTAAATTTTGTATTTATTAGGGGTAAAATATACCCCATCTTTAAAGTTTAAGTGATTTTTTTAACCTTTGTCGAAATAAATTGAAATATATTATTGAAATTTATACAAAATAAAAATATCGAAATATAGTAATAAACGAGTCAATTTTATTCATTAAATTGAAATATTGTATTAAAATGTATACAGACAGATGATTATTAAATTCATAAGAAATTCTCCAAATATTAAAATAAAAAATTTTAGGAAAGTAATGAAAGAAAGAAAAGAAAGATCACTTAAAGTAATAAGAAAGAAAGAAAAGAAAGATTTTATTAAATTCTTAAGAAATTCTCTAAATATTAAAATTTTTATACAAAGCTAAAATATTTAATAAAAATTATAATTTTTAAAAAAAATATTCCGAATCCCCATGGGGATGGGGATTCGGAATATTTAAATATTTTTTTTAATTTAAAAAAAAGATTCCAAAAAAACGTGGGGATTCAAGATCTCGAATCCCCACGTTGGGATTCCGAATCCCACGAGATTCCATATCCCAATACGACATATATATACCTTATTTTATATTTATTTTTAGTATCATTTTTTAGTTTTAGAATAAAATAATTATAACTTAAAACCGTTTTTCTTACCATCGTTATTGTTATATAACATGGTGCCCCGGAATAATAACTCACAATGATATATAAAAAAATCTCATATATATTGTGCATATCCCGATAAATATAAAAAAATAAAAAATTTTTTTTTGGAATTAAGTAATAAATTATAAAAATTATTCGACATAAAAAACATACGAGGTAAAAAAAAAAATTTCTTTAGCTAATGTAAATAAAGTTTTAAAATAAAAATTTGGAATTTGAAAAAAAAATTGAATACATAATAGTGACAATATGTATCTTTGCTAATTTAAATAAGTTTTTAAAATAAAAATCTGCATTATGGATGATAAAATTAGCATATCCTCCAACAGGGAAGTTAAGTTCCCAAAGTTGGAGGGACCCTTAACGGACATATACTTATAAAGACTTGACGATTATTTCTCTCAAACAATTTTATCCGACTCAGTAAAAATTGAAACATTGATGAGCAATTTATCTGATCACCTATACGATAAAATTAAGTCATTAAGTACTAAGGAAGATATCAAAGATTATAAAATTATTATTAAAAAATTAAAATTTTTATTACCCAGTCAAGATGTTTGGATATTGACAGGGAAGTTTAACCTAGCTTCACAAGGTATTAATGAATCTTATTTGGATTGGTTTTTTAGATTGTCTAAATTAAATAGACAATGTAATTTTATTAATGATGATCGCATAAAAGAAAAATTGAGAACATCTAGTGTAAATGATATAAAAAATAAATTAAATAAAAATATTAACTACACATTAGATGAAATGATTGAAATAGGAAGAAAATTAGATAGTATTAACATTAAATCAGAAAGTGACAATGTTAATTATGTTTTTAGTAGGGATAAACAATTTAATAAAAATAATGACAATAATAGAAATAATGATAAGAATTTAGATACCCAAAAATAGGAATGAGATTAATAGTAACTATAATAGACCTAATTTTTATTCGAGACAAAATTTTGACAGTAGGAATAGAAATCATGGTGATAACAATTTTAGTAATGTTAACGACAATAGGAATATGAATTATATTAACGTTAGAAACAATAACAATTATAATAACAACTATAGAAATGATCAGTATAATAATAGTAACCATCAAAATTACAATTATCGGTATAACAACAGCAACAGAAACTTTCATAATAATAATAATCAATCTTATAACACAACTATGGTAGGAAGAACGCCTGGTTTAGTTATAATCAGAGGAGGCAGATTCAATGTGACGATCAAAATCATAATAATTACCGATCTTACAACAACAATTCAAGTTATGAAGGAAACAACAGGCGGCATAAAAATGATAACCAAAGAAAACAAATCGAATATGACGATCGTAATCGGAAGGATTTTAACCAAAGAAAACAAATCGAATATGACGATCGTAATAGGTGGAAGGATTTTAATCAAAGAAAACAAATCCAGTATGATAATCAATACTTCTACGATAGCAATAATTGTAATATGAACATTGAAAAAATTGGGGAAAATAAAGTTGACACTGTCAAATATAATAATGAGAATAATTTTAATGTCAACAACCTGGCTGAAAATACAGACAAAAGTGATGACAGTGCTTTTATGACTACTTTGAAATTAAACTACTACTGTGCAGGTCGACACTGGACGAGCCAGCGTACTCAAAACGATATTAATAAACCAACGTGATAGAATCAAGCTAACGACTACAATGACTTATGAACGACTTGAACAATCAAAATGAACAACCATTTCGACATATTTTCTATGATAGCTCAGATGGATTATGGGAAGGCTTTTCAGAAGAAGGGGAATGTTGATTGATTGATATTTTTATTTAACTTAAATTGTATAGCCTTAAAATATATATTTCGTTTAAATTGTTTTTTTTATAATACATATATATTATTTTATATTTATTTTTAGTATCATTTTTTAGTTTTAGAATAAAATAATTATAACTTAAAACCGTTTTTCTTACTATCGTTATTGTTATATAACAGAAATAAATAAACTAATAATAACTGGAAAGAAAAAAAGAAGAAAAAAATCTTATTTATTTCATTATTGGCCATGTGGTAATTGAAGGTTTTAATAATATTTTTTTTTATATTTGTTGTTATATTTTTATCGATTAATGAAGTTATGTGTTTATTTATTTTTGTAGATTATTTAAAAAATATATAGGTTGTTTAGTTTTAAATGTATATTTTTAATAGTTTTGATATTATCGCCAGTAAAATAAATTTGTATTATTTTAGATTAGTTTTAAAATAGTGGTGGCTAGGACAGATCTACGATTTTTTTGTAAATAACGAATTTATATTAACGCAAAGAGGGCAGATTCATATTAACGCAAAGAAGCGGATTTATATTAAAGCCTAACGAGAGTCCTTTTATTTGTAAGACACCTTTTCGTTTTTGTTATATTTTACAATAAGACCTGTTACATGGAAGTGCTGCTCGATTTTTGTATTTTTACAATAAGACCTGTTGCATGGAAGTACTGCTCGAATTTTTGTATATTTTACAGTAAATCCTGTTGCACACTAGTACTACCGAATTTTTTTTTACACCGTGGAAAACGGATGTATATGTGTATTGTTGGATTATTTACTATATTGATAATAACATATCTAATCTTACACAGTTAAAATATTCATTTTAAAAATGATAGTTAATTTTTTATAAGCAAACATGAAAACATTGAAATTTATAAAATATTGGGAAATACAATATAATATTTTTGGAGCTTTAGTAATCTTAGTAATATGGATATGTAGTTCAATTTGGGGCAAGAGAATGAGAAGGACAGCGTAAAATTAAAGGGGCAGATTTTGGCCATTAAGAGACATAATGTGGAGGAAGATGTGATGAGTAAGATAATATGGTTACCGGTTCAGGAGTTAATTAAGGGATGGACAGATTGTGATATAAGCAAATAAGTTTATAATTCTGTTAGGCAGAATTTTGATAATAATCAAGCATGGAGATTGTATAGAGAGCCAAGAGAGAACTCGCGGGGAAGGAGAATAGAAGTAAGACATAGGTTGTTGTAGATTGGGTATAATAAGGAGGAATGTATTACGAGCAGTTACAACAACAAAGGGGGTTAGTTTTTCACAGAAAGGGATGTATCAGAATGTTTTAAATGTAAGGACTATTGAGAGAGAGAATATGGAAGAGGCTCGGGTGTCTAATATAAAAGAATCTGGGAAGCTATGTATGGAATATTTAAGGAGCCGAAAAGGGTGACATGTGGCAAGGGACCGTAGGAATTTGTGACTATATGATGATGTAAAATACGGGTCGAGGCGGTTAAGAATGACAATAGAAGTTTCTCAGGGTAAAATAAATAAGGGGGGTGTGTAAATATACAGGAGGGGGTAAGAAATTTAAATGGGAGAATGGTTCCTATGTTGTTTGATATGGGAGAGGCGATCTCGGTAATTGGATACAATAGGCATCAGAGTAATAGGCCGGGGGGAATGATAGAATGAGGGATTGAGAATTCGGCAATTTGATAGAACGGCGTCTATGGATAGGGTGATAAGTGGAGCATCATCGGGTGAGAGGGTTTGGGTATTGGATTTATGGATTATCAAGCAAAATATAGAAGCTGTGTAGGGGTGGGACTGAATCACTAGAATTGGTTCATGGTATAGATTTTTGGAGTATTTTCGTGGTGGAGTTGTATACCAATAACTAGTGATGAATATGCAGTTATGACGTCTGAGAGTGAGAATGTGTTGCCGGGAGTTGAGACCATGTTGAATTGTGAACTAAGGGGGAATAATGATTGGAGTGAAATTAGGATAAATAATTCTAGGAGCGAAGAGGAGAAACAATTATAAAAGCGAAATGGGGGGGGGAGAATTATAGGAGCTTAATAGGGGGAAAGAATTCTAGAGGCGAAACAGGGGGAAAGAATTCTAAGAGTGAGATAGGGGGAAGAATTATAGAGCGAAATATGGGGAAATGGTTTTGGGGAAAAAATAAGTAAATATTACCTGGGGGAAGTTGGACTTTAAAGATTATCAATATTAAGAGAGATGGAAAAGGGAACGTATCGCGTTATCAAGAAAATCAAGAGGTGATAGATGCTGAGACGCAGAACGGTGGAGGGGACTTGGCGCTCAAGAAGAAGATGAAGGGGAATTTGGAATGATCAAAGTGCAAGAAGGAGTTCAGAGATTAATAAAGAAGTATCAAGAAATTTTTAATGAAGAGTTGGGATGTCTTAGGAATTATGAAGTGGATATTAAATTGAAGGATGGCTATGTACCGAAGTTCTGTGCGTTGCAACGAGTACCGTTTGAATGGAGAGAAATGGAATTGGATCAATAGGTACAGAAGGTCATTGTATGTCTCGTGGAATACAGCGAATGGGCGACTCCACTAGTGCCTGTGAAGAAAGCCAATGGACGGCTCCGTGTATGCGCAGATTTTCGGGTCACGCTAAATCCGTGGGTTGTGGAAGTCAAATATCCATTGCCACGAGTTGAAGAAATATTGGCTAATTTAAAGGGAAGTATTTATTTTTCAAAAATTGATTTCTCAAATGCATATCTGCAGCTGCGTGTGAAATCGGAGGTGAAGAGATTATTAACCATTACTACACCTAAGGGATTGTTAGCTGTTTGTAGATTGCCATCTGCACATAGTGTATCAGCTCCTATTTTCCAGCCAACCATGGCGGCCATTCATGGAAAGGGGTTTTCTACTATATGGAAGATGTGTTGGTAACGGAAGGTACTCCCGAACAACACGAATGAAGATTGGAGGAAGTTTCGGAGATTCAAAGAAAAATAATTGTGGGTTAGTGGGGAAAAAGTGTAATGGGGGTGATGTAAGTGATATATCTTGGGTACAAAATTACGGAAAAGGAGGTGAGACCATTGAACAAAAATAAGATCGGAATTACGAGCATGTTGAAACCTAATAATAAAGCTTGGTTCTTAGAGGGATTTGCTAAAATAGCAGTGCCATATCAATTATTGAAGAAAGGAGAGAAATTTGAATTGAGAGATGTGAAATCTAGAATTGGAGAAGAACCTATTTTAGTGTGATTTAATAATGAATTGGAGATGTTATTGGCTGTGGACGCGTCTAGCAAAAATGCAGGAGGAGCCTTGATTGTGTTGATGAATTTGAGAGACTGATGTAATTCCTCTTAATATTATCTACGGAAGGCCATGGATTTTTATATTTTATTTATTTTTATTAACACTCCAAAATTATATCTTTTTACACTTTATATATACAATAATATTATTTACAAGTTAGGTTAGTTAAAATATAAGTTTTTTCATATCAAAAAAAGAAAAGTATAATAAGTTTTTAAAAGGTCATTTAAATCTATTTCAAAAAATAAAAAATAAATAATGAATACGAAAAGGTCTTCTGAACCTTATTTGTCAAAGATCATTTAAATTATTTTACAAAAAGAAAAAGAAAGAAAAAATACAAAAAGTTTTAACATTCAAAACATCTTTAACATTTCCCTCTCTTCTTTCCTCAGTTTCTTATCTTCATCACCAGTCATTTGTTTCTCAATTGCTCCATTAGTCATTTGTTAGTCGTCTTGAGTTTGTTTGTTTGACCATCGAATTTTCGTTTATTGAATCGTTTATTGAACATCATTGTTGAAACATGTTGGTTGAACATTGTTTGTTGATATGCTGTTTGTATGATTATCCCATTTCCATTTGGCCTTCAAAATTATATATATATTTTTTTACAAAATTTTTATTTATTTATAACAATCATTTACTATGTCGTAAGTCATATTCTCGATTTTGAACTTGACTTTGAATTTGCAAATTTTGACCTTGAACTTGTTCACTGCTTCCCCCTCTAAAATTTTTTATTTGTTGTAGAATTTTCATTTGATCTTTTGTTCGTTGTTTATCCTCAGTCATATCTTTTTCATTGGTTTGTTCGTAGCTTGTTATCCTTATCGTCTAATTGAACATCATCCTCACTTTATCTTGTTTATCTCGTTATTTATTATCATTTGTATCAATGTTTGTAAATAGATATTATGATCTATATATCTCGAATAAAATAATTTTGAAATAATTTAAATGATAATGGAATAAATAATTTATCGAAATCATTCATAGAATAAGAATAATAATCATAATTTGGAATATAGAATAATAGAATATTTTGAATTGTCGCGTTTTATATAATAACTAGTGGATAACCCGTCAAGTATGACGGGAATAAAAAAATCTTGAACTATTATAAGAAATTTTTTTTTAATACCTTTTTTTTAAAAAATAAAGGAGAATCTTCTGTGAATATATATAGATTTTATAAAATCTAATGTTAAATATATGAATGTAAAATATATGAACATAAAATATATGAATTTGTAATCATAAATGTAGGAAGATACGGATAAATAGGTATTGTATATCATTTCCTGAGGTCACATATTAATGGTGAGAGAAAAGTATTTTATTGACTTTTAATGTTCAAATGGCTAAATATAATTTAAATTTATTTGTTGAATTTAAAATGTAATTTGTACTTAGGAGTAGTGACTATGATTGGCATATTGTGGTATAGTTAAAATGTTTAGGTATTTGAGTATTTTAATTCCATGAAATAAATAGGTATATAGAGAGTCCATTTGACTTTTTGTAAAAATAAATTTTTTACCTGAGAGGGAAAGATTGATG